AGGCGTTGTGCTGACCTTATGTCGTTATTTTTATTTATTTTTTAACCATTTCTTTTTCACGTGCCGCTAGACCTGTTCCTTTCTCTTCCGTGACATTCGGTCGCGTGTTCACGGTGGCTCACTTTCCTCATCAGCGCTGAATGCTATTTATAAAAGGATGCTGGATGATAACTCGATGCATTCAGACTGTCCTGTTTGTTTGGGTGCCCGGGTTGAATGTTGGGAAAATATTTACCGGTCGATGTAGTTTGCTGAGAACACCACGCTCTACCTTTTAAAACAGAAGGACAGTACAGTCGTTTCGCATACTTGATAGCGATCTTTTAGTTGTGTTGTACTGCTACTGCACTCATCCTACTATCATTTTACTGACCTTTAAGCAGGGATGGAATTTAAGTGTCTTAAAAATTAAATTACTCTCATCAGTTTAACATTGCTGTTGTTAAATTTGCAGTATTTCAAGAAATGCTGAACAATTCTCATTACAACAATGAGAAAAATTTTGAAGGAAGAAGTGAAGAAATTGAATGCTTAGAATTTCGCCTTTCTTCTTTACATCCAGGTACCACATTCGTGTCGGCTAGGATTTTAGAAATGTTATATTTTTCGGGGATGTGGGTTTTTTTTCCCCGTATGTTGCACGGTAGCAGTACAAGAAAGCGTTGATATTCAAAGCATTTTTCACATAAATATTTTTACGATGTTCAGACATTAAAAAAAAAGTAAGTTTTTAATATTTGCAACTTTTAACGTATCTTATAATTAAGGTGCTGATTGTATAAAATTGGTAACTTTCAATAATTTTGTAAAGGTGTGACTTTTGTATAAGTTAATTCTGCGAATCTTATCGTATTGAAACTGAAAATGGTGAACTAAAATAGTGATTCTAGTCTAAAATTTAGCATTTGTATCTGCGATAGTTTAATCGATTAAGGTAAAGGCTCACTGTCTGGGGAAAACGGATGCCTTCGTGGAGGCCTTTCTAAGAGAAGCGGGCTCTTATTCACGTTACATACAAAGAAAACCACAGAAATATCCATAAAGGTTTCATACTGACCGTTTAAACCCGGATATAATGACCATTTTTCAATGACCTTATTCACATAGCCACAGTTTATTGGCCATTAAAATGAAAGATCGTCGTTAAAGTTTTTATTTATATTTTTGGTAAAAATGCAATATTAACTGGAAAAATAATTAGATGAAAAAAATGAAAAAAAGAAAAAGACAAAAAAACGCTGAAGAAACCAAGCAAGAGGAATTGGCGTAACATAAGTAAATTTGCGGTGCTATCGTTTCAGAGGTAAAACAGAACTTTAGCATTTACGTATTATCACAACCACTTTAGTAGAAATCGCCAAAGCTTCAGAATACACCAAATTCTGGTAAACACGCTCGTAACAATTACTAAGGCAACCATGCGTATGACAAATATTCATTTTCCTGCGTATGACAATTGTTCAGTTTCCAACGTCGCCGTTTTCGCTTTTTGTTATACTTCAAGTTCCAATAACTTTTTCTAATAAAATTATTATTATTTTTTGTCTTAAACTCGATTTAAAATTTTTCCTTGTAGGATTTCCCAGGTTTACTGATTGTCTTTTGGAATAAATGTATAGTTGAATCGTATAATATATGTAAGAAAATGTATGTATGTAATTTTTACAATAAAAGTAATTGTTCTTTTTCTTTCGTAAAATTCGCCAAACGGCGCCAAGGTGGGTGCTGTAGTACGTGAGTACCAGAAACTTTTTATTCAGTTGCGGAAAATTTCGAGAATGTTCTAGCTGATGTTTTGTGTCATTCAGCTAAAAAGTTCTCGAATTTCCTTTTGTTATTTTCTCAGTAGGCACATGTCTGTTTCTGCATCATTTTCAGTGCCACAGCTCAAGGAGAAAATTTTGTTTAATTATCGAAACCATAACACTCACTTTATTCTAATTTCTGCTGCTTTCTATTAGTCTTTTTCAGCATTTAGTTCTTTTGTTACATGACAATCATAACGAGAAAGTAAGAGGAAAGAGAATATCAGTGTAAGGTTTGCAGAGATTGTGCCTAAGTTTAACTTGTGGCGAATCCTTGAATAGACGTATAAACGACTTACCGCTATACGTAAGATGACACAGAACTTAAGGCCCTATCATTCAGAACTTAAAATGATTTAACAGAAGACACCTCTTGTGCTCACAAACCAGCCAGCATTTACGACATAACTCAGAAATAAGGAATTCAAATTAAAACAAAGTCGTTAAGTTAGCCAAAGAAATTAAGCGGAACTGAATTATGCTCAAGTTGGCTCAAACCCGTACTTGCCTGAGAATAACTATTAGCAAGAATAAAACAACGCCGCAGACAGACTCATATAGTAGATATCCAACTAGGAACGTGGCCTTAAGCAGGCGGAATACGCTCTGATTAAATAATCCCAAACTTCCCTTGAAATACTATCTCTTTCTACCTCATTTGAATACTAAAATTACTAAAATTACCATTCTGGTAAGAAAAGGGAAAGGGAGAATAACGACGGTAAAGCCACTTAGCATAAAATAACTGTTTAGAAAAAAATAACTAAATAAATAAATAAATTCGTATACATTATTAGACAGAAGTGAAAATATACACTTTTTTCCCTGTTTGTAGAATATTTTAAAACATAAAGCTTGATTTGATTATCTTCTTTCTATCTTTCTTCTATCTTGATTATCTAAGAAAAATTATTTCATACTACGTAGGTAAGTTGAAAAATAAGTTTCCCTTGTCGACTGTGGTCAGAGTTGTGTATGAAAGTCAAAAAATAGAATGAGACATTAAAGATATGACATACCTTTATTTTTCCACATAGGTACATTGAGACATTTGTCATATCGCTTGATAAGCTTCAAAAAGCCCTCCAGGAAAAAATCAGGGCTTTGCATATGGAAGAAGCGTTGAACGGCTTGTTTCACTTCAGTATTGCTTCCAAAGCGCCTTCCCCCGAGATTTTTTCTTCAAAGCCGGAAACAGATGGAAGTCGCTTGGTGCGAGATCAGGACTGTATGGCGGATGGTGTAGGCGCTCCCAACCAAGAGCTACAATATGGTTTTGCGTTGCCGTCGCCGAATGTGGTCTGGCATTGTATTCCAACAGCAGAACGCCAGATGTGAGAAGGCCAGGCCGCTTTTTCCGAATCGCCTCTTTCAATTCCGACAGGGTGTCACAGTAGCGCGTAGCATTGATGGTTCCAACCTCCAAAAAGTCCAACAACAAAACTCCTTGGGCGTCCCAGAAAACTGTGAGGAGCACTTTACCTGCAGAGGGAGTTGTCTTGAACTTCTTTCGGACAGGTGATGACGGATGTTTCCACTCCATAGATGCGGCCTTCGATTCTGGCGTGAAATGGTGGACTCACGTTTCCTACCCCGTCACAATCCGAAACAGAAAGTCATTGCCATCTTCATGGTAACGCACGAGATGTTCCAGGCTGACCCCCATGCGTTGTTCTTTGTGTGTCGAGGTCAATTGTCGGGGCACCCATCGTGCTGACACTTTTCTGTATCGGAGAATGTCGTGGATGATGTTTTGAGCTCGCTTATGTGAGATTCCAAGTTCTTCCGCTACTTCATCGATGGTGATACGCCGGTTCGCTCTAATCATGTCATCCACCTTCCTGACATTTGCATCTGTAGTGGCCGTGCGCGTCCGTCCAGCTCTCGGTATGTCCTCCACTTGCTGACGTCCATCACTGAATGTGCGACACCATCTTCGCACCATTTGCTTCGACATCACACCTGGCCCATAGACTTCCACGAGGCGGTTATGAATTTCTGTTCCTGATACTCCACGTGCCCATTCATAGCGGATAACCGCTCTCACTTCCTGCTTTGACCACCTCCTTCGGCACACAAGGAACACGCATGGGGGTCAGCCTGGAACATCTCGTGCGTTACCATGAAGATGGCAATGACTTTCTGTTTCGGATTGTGACGGGGGATGAAACGTGGGTCCACCATTTCACGCCAAAAACAAGCCGTTCAACGCTTCTTCCATATGCAAAGCCCTGATTTTTTCCTGGAGGGCTTTTTGAAGCTTATCAAGCGATATGACAAATGTCTCAATGTACTTGGTACCTATGTGGGAAAAATAAAGGTATGTCATATCTTTAATGTCTCATTCTATTTTTTGACTTTCATACACAACTCTGACCACAGTCGACAGGGGAAACTTATTTTTCAACTTACCCTCGTATAAAGAAGTTAAGCTACTTTAAAGTTCTAAACTATCTTTACTGAAGTATGCTTCCTTGAAGTTCGAACCAAACAAACATCGAAACCGCAGAGCAAAACTAACTAAATTGTAATGTGTAAGCTTTTACCTTATGCATACGTATCTTATATACGTATGTATGTTATATGTGTTATGCTATGTGTATGTTCTCATGTTATGAGTTGTTATGTGTAAGTTCTCATGTGTACGTATATTATAAGTATTGTGTTATGTGTATATTCTTATGTTACGTGAATTGTTATGCGTATGTTCGTATGTTACGTGAATTGTTATGCGTATGTTCGTATGTTACGTGAATTGTTATGTGTAAGTTCTTTTTCATGTGTAATTATATTATGTGCATGTATGTTCTTAACTTGATTGTTATGTGTTTTGTGTCTTGGCGAATAATTGCCAGCTTGCGAAAAGTTGCGAGCCTCTTTATGGAAGTTTACCGTGGTCACAACAACCTCATCTCCCCTGCTTTAAGATCATCAAATTTAACATAATGACCTCTCATCCGACTCTTCTAGACATAACCAGACTTCTTTAGGCCACTGATGATATATTTACTTTTATTACTTTTTTTTTTCCTTTCCAAAACCCTTCCGGAAGTGTCGCTGCTTTTAAATGCATCAGGTGCTGTAATATTATAGAATTAACTAACTAATTTTACTTTATACTGCTGAGACATAAGTCTGCAAGAAAATTACAAGACTTTTCAACTGTTTAATTGTATTTTTTTATATCCTTCCCAGACGCAGGTTTCATGTGATTCAAATCTTCCACTGATTTCCATGAAATCTTTCGAATGGGTCAGTCGGTGGTCGAATCCCCGGATGACCACCCTTCGGAGGGGTTAAATGGAAGACCTCATCGAAGCCTGCATGGCAGCCATTGTAGCACGGAGCCTCCACCATTGGGTTACCATTACCTGCGGAGATTGTGCAGAGAACGAAGCATTCTCTTTGAGGATCCAGAATTCAATGTCTCGTCGACTAAAATTCCGAACTCTAAGCACAGAACTCAGGCATCAGTAACATGGATGCGACCATACGTAAGTTTATGTATAGTTATAATCTCTATTTTGGTTTAACACTCGACAAATTCACATAAAAATTTTATAGAATGCAGCGTATCGTCTCTTAATTTGGGTACTGAAATATTCCTTCAGCGATATTTAACGTGATTACTTCAGTGATATTTAGTAATTTGATTCGTAAAAAGTAGGAAGTTTATCCCACATAGCACAGAAACATCCTTGGGATGTTTCTGTGCTATGTGGGATGACGTTGTGTGCTATGTGGGATGACGTTGCTCACGGGATATGCGCACATCCTCAGGACATCCCGGAATATCCCGCGAACCTCCTAAACACATCCTCCCGAGTGCTTAATGTCACATCCCGGGATATCCTCAGGACATCCTAACCAAGTCCCATCGACAGCGTGCGGGATGTTATTAGGATATGAACTCCTACTTACTACATCCTCAGGACATCCCACAAACCTCCTAAGCACATCCCATTATATCCTAAAAACATCCTATCTATGTCCCATCGACAGCGTATGGGATGTTATTAGGATTTAAAGTCCTACTACTTACTACATCCTCAGGACATCCCGTAATATCCCAATTTCCTCCTAAACTCATCCTCCTGAGCGCTTAATGTCACATCCCAGTATATCCTTAGGACATCCTATCTACGTCCCACCGACAGCGTATGGGATGTTATCAGGATTTGAAACACTAGTTACAATATCCCTTTAACCTCTTAAATACATACTCTCAACTGCTTAGTGTCACATCCCAGTATATATACAGAGGAAAATTCCAGTGAAAGTATGTGAAGGTGTGATGATCTAAAACCTACTTTTTTTACACAGATAGTCTCAAATCCTTCTCCTATGGTTACTATGGAAAAATCAGAAATGTTGAAAATATTTATACAACTTATTTTGTTTTTAAATCTGAATTTGTGAATATATTAAAACTGAGCAAGGAAATTAAAATGAATTATTAATACAAAATATTAAAACTGAAAATTTTGCTTTTATTTTTAAGATATTAAAAATCTTTTGATCATTTTTAAACATCCAATAGCCCCCAAATTGAATTATTCATAATTAAATTATTTTACAAAATCAGTTTCTAATTTCAGTTAATTTGTATTAAAAATTGAATAATAAAATTAGCCATTTAATAATCTTTACATAAATGAATCATCTTTCTTTAAAACATGTAAGGAATTTATAGTGTTTTGATGACACTGTTGGGAAATTGTTAAAAGGAATAAATTGTATTTTTAAAACTAAATCAATTCCTAGCCTCAGAATAAATAAATATGTTTTCGTAACATGAGAATGCTGCAGGCTTTTTTATATATTTAATATTTAGTTGTAAAAATTTGACATTATGTTAACAATTCTTTATATCATTCAAAAGGTAACTCAAGAAGCTCTTCTAAAATTCTATCTTTCTGCTCACACAATTAAAAAAAAAAAATCTGAAAGGCCTCAGATTTTAGCAGTCACTCAAAGAGGCTAAAAGTTTATGAATGCATAGATTATCAATACAGATGGGGCAGTGGAAATAGCAAAACATTTTATAAGATACTGACACCAGAAAGTTATATATCTTCTATATATTTGAAAAATGAAGAAATATATCATGTAATTATGTAGAAATATTAAAATGTTTTCAATTAGATATATCATGAATTAAATGCATTTTAAATCAATCAGATTAAAAATTAAAAAAAGCATTGTTAAGAACTGTGTGTAATGCTTTTAAATAGCTTGGCTTGTTAGTCAATAATATATTAGATTTTAAAGGTAAATATGTTAAATTTTGCCAAATGGCAAGACTTGAATGAAAAGCGAAACAAGTTTACGACTGACGATATGAAGTCACATTTCAAAACTAATAGCCCTTTTAGATTAAAAAAAAAAAAGTTCTGAAAATAATTTGCAATGGTTCATTGGTATTATTTTACGCAAAATTCAGTAAAATGAAATTTACCCGTTGAAATCAGCACCAAATTAAACTTTGTAAAAATTCTAGCGCATGTTAAAGGTTGTCTCATCCAGAATTTTATTACTAACCATTCATTTCAGAGCAAAATAAAACAGTAATTGCCATTTATATGACAATCAATATCAAAAATTTAAATCTGCATTTTACGCAACATAGAAAAACTTCAAAAGATCTACTGTTTACCATGCAATTAAGGCATTTTATTCTGCTATCAACTCTACCAATTATTAATTCCATTAAGTATATTCAGTTTACTCTTTCTGCTCAATATATGCAATGTAAAATTTTCCATAAATTTATTAATTCATTTTATTTTGAGGTGAGCTTTTATTCAACTCTCAATGTCAACGAGAATGTTTAGTTCATTTTTTATTCGGTCTCAAAAGAGAAATCAAAATACGTGGATTTATGTACGTGTATTTATGAATCAAAATACATGAGAAATCACAGTGAGAAAAGCACTGCTACCTTAAACTGTGATTATATATAACAAATGCAGTGAATTATAGTTAAAAAATAGTGAAAATATTTATATTTCTGAACTATTTCATATATAACATTTTCAGTTTCGCATATGTGGCAATTTAAGAACTTTTTTACGTATACCAATTTTTTGAAATATCTGCAAATTTTTGTATCTTCAAGGAAAGCTTATTCTTTCACCTTTAGTATATAAGTAATGGTAATTTACCAGATAAAATTACTTAATGGGGAATACAGAAAAATATCTAACCACTTACCTTTGTGACTTCATCTGCAGAGAGACTAAAAAAGTAGTTCAGCTAAATCTGCTATAATAAATATTTATAATAATGCTAAATTATGCAATATCTATTAATATGACAAATTTTTGTAAAGCTATTTATTTGGATGAAAAATAAACACATTCAGAAATTTATGGCACTATATTATGATTAACAGAGGAAAAACACTTTTCAAAATTCAAAATAGTTTTTATTAATCCAATTTATCACATTTTATTTGAATTCATGAAAAACAATCTTATATCCATGTATTCTTATGTATATAAGAACTCTTGATAAATTGGATCTCTGTCATTGCCTTTCACAGCACCTAAAATAAAAAAACACTCACAATTACTATATGTGAATATAATTCATAATTAAATTTAAACAAATGACTATTAGAATGCAAATTAAAGGAAGCATTTAAAATATTTTAACATTTAGTACCTATAAACAGAGTAGCAATTATTTGATTTTTCGATTATAGTAAAATAAACATGGGGGATGCCTTTTAAAATTTTTTATGTCAGAAAATAAACTCAAACCACCAGCTGAACATATGAGCAGTTTTATCAATCAGCCACTGGTAGGTAACCTGGATACTGAATCAACAACATATAAAGTTGCCAAGATAAAGAGAGAAACAAAATTATGATAATCACATCTTACCTATTCATAAAACTATTTTAAATTTAATGTGTAGGCAAGTCCAAAAAGAGTGAGAATGAATTTATTTTGCAACACAAAGTAAAGTCTTGCAGGAGCAAAAAAAACTTGTCTCATGAGATTGGCAAGTAAAAAATAATTAACTGCATCTGGTAACATTTATCTGACAACACATAAGTAATTGTTAGCTACGTGCAGAAAATAAAATCTGATCAGGGGCGTAGCTAGAGGGGGGCAAGGGGGGCATCTGTCCCCAGGTGCAGAATCCAAGGGGCGCCAAACTGATGTTAGAACATTTTAGAATTAAATGTTTTCCATCCTTGGCAAGCAGTAGGGGGCGCGAAATCTTCAGTTGTCCCTGAGCGCTGAAAACCCTAGCTATGACTCTGAATCTGATCATGTTAATGCAATTTTAAACTTTTGAATTTAACCGCAGAAATTTACCAAAGAAGTACTTGTAACAGTAGTAAATGAAGATGTGGCTAATCTTTACTGTATGGTACACCTTGGTTTCTGTCTGAAAAAAAAATCGCAAAGTGGTATTGGTTGTTTGTGAAATGTGGAAGCCCATTGCGTCAAATAAGTTTTTCGGTAACCCTAATGTTGATAATGTTGGCGAAAGTAGCCTTTGGGAAAAAAAAAAAAAAAAAAAAACTTTTTTTTTTGTCAATAAAAAGGAGTTATTTCTGCAAATATTGCCAACATGTTGTGATAAATTTAGTTTTGGGCTACTTTTTTTAATAGTAAACCTTTTGTACGGTCCCAGGTTTTTGGTTCTTACCATTCTTTTCAATTGCTGTGTTTGGTTGCACGGAAGTGGTATGGTCTTGTATTTTGAACATGCTATTTATTATTTTGGTGTGGGTACCATCGTTTGAGTATGTCTGAGGTGACTAAGAGACGAAAAATTTAATTGAATTGCTTACCTGGAGGATGGTGGTGGGAAGCCTAAACATATGCATGTGAAAAAAAAAGGTATGTTAAAAAAATGACGTTTCATTTTATTTTTTGTCTCTGTGTGTTAATTTTTGTTAGAAGATTTGTTGTTTAATGTTTTTATGTTAGGAAATATGTATTTTTGGTAACTTATTCCTCTCTGTTTGTGTATTTTTGGTTGTCTGTGTGTTAAGACAGTGGCGAATTTTTTCTGGTAACTATGATATTTTTAACTTTCTGATTTTCTTAAAGTGAAAATAGATCAATGTGTACATGGACAAAGTTAAGGCAGTGCACAATGCCCAGTTTGTGCAGTTCTCTGTTTTAATAGGTCGATGTGTACATGGACACAGAGTTTGTGTATGTCTTTGACTTCTTATTTTGGTTTTGTGTAGCGGCCACCTTGAAATTGGTGCCGATCCTCTCAGGTGACGATCTTGATATAAAAAAAAGAAACGATTCGCCAAGGGTTACAGTAGAGTAAATTTTTACCAAAGATGTTCTACCATAATCACCATTTCAGTGGTTTAAACACTAGTGGAGCAGTATGCAGAGATGAAGATTTGAGTTTTGTTTACACAGCATGATGGTTTAGGCACTCCAGCCATTACAGTGAACAAAATTATAATAAACATAGCCACAATAATTGTCTATAAATATTGATGTATAACAC